ATAGGCTATAAGAGGTCTTTTAGTATCGCTCGTTACTAGGGCCGCTTTAATCGAATATACTCGCCTACTACCTTCGAATCTATTATAGTATTCCGATACTATCTCCTCTACTAGAATCGCTAAGGTAGGTTACTAAAGATTATACTAAAGGAGTTGATCGAGGAATTAGAAAACTTTAAGATCGAAGAAACCTAGGAACGCGAAGAGAATGCGAAATTTAGTCTAAGCGAAACCCTAATTAGCGATAACGAAGAGGAGGAGGGCGGAGGCAGAAGGCGATACCGGGTCGAGAAGCGGAAACGTATATAAGCTTAGAGTAGCTTTAAGGAGACGAAGCGTTTACGTACAAGGTAATATAGCCGGCGTATATAGCCGGTATATGTCCGAAATGTGTTTCGAATTCCTAGGACCTAAACAGACTAGTTGCTATAGTAACCGACCCCGCTTACCTACGGACTATTTCTAATTCTCTATTCGCTCTTCCTCTCCTTCTTCCCTTTCCCTATATTCTTAAAGACAAATATGCCTTAAGGATTCGGCTCTTCGGGCCTTCCTAAGCCGGCTACCTCCCCTTCCTTAAGCTACTATCCTTTATTCGAATCTAACGATAACCTAATAAGGCGGTTTAATAGAAGACTATTTGTTCTAGAAGGTAAGAAGCATTAATGTCTCCTTACGATTATATGCTTATTAATTTTCTAGGTCCTACCGATATACCCTCGTCGCCTAAACGCGTAGATAAATATCTTTAGAGGCTAAAGGGCAAGGGTAAAGTAAGCTAAGCATAGGGAGACCGTAGCGAGAACGAGATATCGGAAGAGCAAGGCTCTCCGTAGTATATACGAAGGAAGGGGGTTCCTCGGAAAACAGTACCGAAAAACAAGAAGGCTATAGGTAGATAGGAGAAGGCTAAAAAGAGTAGGCGGACGAAGACTATCGCGAAGAAAAGTTATCTTTCTATTAAAAGAAAGGGAACAAGGCAGGACTCGACGATAAAGAAGCGGCGCTTTAAACTAGATACTATTGCCCTTCGCTAGATCCGGCTTTTCTAAAATAAAAGAGGGACCGAGCTTTTAATCCCTAAGACTCCCTTCTAGCGACTCGTCCGAGAAATTATATTAGATTTTCGGTCTAGTATGCGATTTACGGCTAAGGCGATTAGTGCTCTTTAGGAAGCTACGGAGGCATTTCTCGTAACCGAGCTTAAGCTTTTAAACCTCCTTGCTATCTATGCGAAGCGGGTTACTCTTTAAAATAAAGATATACAGCTTCTAGCTAAAATTCGGCGTCGGTTTATAGCGGATTAGTTGGAAATTGTATTTAGTCGTTAGATTAACCTAGGAGGAGGCCTATTTTCGTATCCTTTTGCCGGCTATAGGTGCCGGCTACATTTCTGATTTTATCTCCGCGCCGTCTCTAAATCTAAGGTACGAAGTAGAAACCTAGCGCTCTATATTTACCCGGCTATTATAGAGACGAGCTATATTCAGATTAGTTTCTTCGCATATCGCGACCTAGCGGGTAGTAAGCGAAAGGGCGATAGAACGTTTATAATACGTCTCTATTTAGACCTAAAACACAAAGGTCCTAAGGAGCCCTAGTATCCTAACTATAAGGAGATTCTTTAGTATTAGCACTTTGATCCTCTATACTACGAGGCAGATAGCAAGCCTACGAGAGAGAAACTTCAACGAGAAATTCTCTATAATACGTAGCGCTATTATATAGCTATAGATGCGTACTAAGTCCGGCAACTCGAAGAAGAATTAAGATAGCGTATTAGCGACCGAGGAAGAGATCGATAGTATACTAGTAGAGTCGAGGTCTTATAAGCGAAGCATAAGATAATATAGGCTCTTAGTCGTATAGAGTAACGTACTATATAAATAACTAGGCGTACTACTCTTATTTACTTACGACCTATATCCTAGGATACTCTTCTCGTACTTTTTATACTCTTTTCTAATACCTTACCTATAAGCGCTCCGCGACAACCGAGTGAATATAAGCTATAGGGTTTCCGCTCGGTACCTTAGCCTCCGAGATAGGGCGGAGTTGAATTTAGAGCGATAGCCGGTACTCGTAGCCGGTATATAGAGACGGTAGTAGGCCTTTTCCTACTAAATAACTAGCTTGTTTAGTATAGCCTACCTGATATTTCTTATATTTACTAGCAATAGGCCTAGGTTACTTATAAGATTACTATAGCTAGTAAAGGCATTACTAAAGAATATCTATACTATAGTAAGATACTATTATTACGCCGGCTATTTATTAAAAGGAGGCTTTCGCCTATTACTATACCGGCTATATATGCCGGCTATATTTCAAAGTCTCCCGTACCTACCTTTTTTAGCCGTGCCTGCCTTTTTTAGCCGTGCCTACCTTCTTTCCTTGCTCTAACGTTACTATAATATAGGCTTACGCGAAGCTTACTCTATTGCCTAGCGACACCGCGATACTACCGCTACATTCAACCTTCGTATCGATACCTATACCTCTACGCTCTATATCTACTACCTCCGCAATACCCTCGCTCCGCGCGCGCCTTCGTATACCTTCGTAACGCACTTTTTTCCTTAATTCGACGACTTTTATAATAGCGAGTCTACTTAACTAAGTTACGACGCCTCGTAAGAAGGGACCTAGTGCTTCTACGGGTCGTAACAAGACCGGAAATAGTAGAACGAGTATAGTATATTAACGTAAGAGGGCTGCTACTACTACCGCTAGCTCCGGTGCTAGAAAGGGCGTCGCGAGCAAGGCTCCGCGTAAGACAACGGCGGGCAAGGCTCTACGCAAGACGATAACTAGCGCTTCTACTACTAGTAGTAATCGTGCGAAGCGTCGATAGCGCCTAGGAAGTAAGTCCTATTTATAGCCGGCAGCGTAGCCGGTAGCGTAGCCGGCAGCGTAGCCGGCATTCTTACTGTCTTTTTACTAATCCTTCTTTAGCCGTAGCCCTCCGTAAGATTCGGTAGTATTAGAAGAGTTCTTAGCTCCTAATCCGTAAAACTCCTTTCTAACGACTTATTCGCGAAATTGCCTAGGATTACAGAACGGACCTTCGCTTCTAAGCCTCCGCGATAGGCGCCCTTTAAGAGGCTATAGAAGCCTACCTAGTTCGTATCTTCGAATGTATATTTCTCTTCTACCTCTTTTCGGACTATACTAATACTATTTTAGCAGTTAACCTTATAGCTATCTACGCGAAGCGTATAACGATTATAGACAAGGATTTCAAAGTACTCGATTAGATTCTAAAAGGCTAGAATGTCTATATTCGAGACGGTGCTAGGTAGGATAGATATTCTAGTAGAAAGGATGTTCGTAGTATTATCTGCAAGCTTTTCTATATACGAAATAAGCCGCTGTTATACGGCGCTATATACCGCGCTCTAAATACTCTCTAAGTATATATATATAGTATAGTATACTTTATTAGCCGTACGGAATAGAAGTCTCTTAAAATCCCGTTAGTACTAAGGAGTAAAAAGGCCGGCTACGCTACCGGCTACGCTACCGGCTACGCTACTAGCTACGCTGCTAGGTTTTTCAAAGAACTAAAAGAAGATAGATATTCCGGTTAATTTATATTAGTTTAGATTTTTATAAAAAGAAAATAGGGAAAAATAAGGAAGGTTAAAGAGCCTAATAGTTATAGTTATAGGCACTATCCCTGTTTTCTAGAGCATATTATACACCTACCTTCGCAACTCTACCTAATACTCCCTCTAAATATCCTTATACTCTACCTACTAAAAATTCAACTAGGTACCTAGACCTGCAGCTACCTCTATATCTTTTACTATCTTCTATAGGTTGAAGGCCTCTTCTATAGCAGCCTCTACCTCCTTATATAATACGAAGTTACTACCTGCCCTACCCTTTATATCTCCTAAATAACTAAGAGTTCTAAGGAACGAACTAGCATTCGGCCTTAGTATAGCGAGTAACTAGTAGAACGTTCTATAGAGCTGCCTTATAGCTCTTTTATATACTATACCGATACCGAGGGAGGAGCTATCCTAGTACTTAATATTGTCGAATAGTTCGGTAGGAAAGTATATAAACTTCTTAAGGAGGAGGACTTCTAGGGAAATCGATAAGTTCTGCCTAGATCTAGATAAAGACATTCTACTAAGCAGTTAGGGAATTGAACCGTAAACGAAAGGATAAAATTCATATCTAAGGAGTGCAGTTTCCGAACTGAACTATAATACCTTATATATATATGTATATGCTTTTAATTGGTTAGTGCCCTTAACTGATTGTCTATAGATTTGAGGTTATATAAGTACCTTTATACAACTACGTAGCCTAAGTAGGATTCGAAAATTCTATAAGTACTAAGGACTAAAAATGCCGGCTACGCTGCCGGCTACACTGCTAAGTCTTACAAAGGGCTTGCTTGAAGCTACGTATATATTCGTACACTTCTTAAAAACCGATAAATTATATAGTTCGAACTAGCTACTTATATAGTTGCTTAGCAAACCAACCCAAACCAAACTAGAGTTTCGGCTTAGCAAACCAAACCAAACTAACCCGAACTACTGCGGGGTCTACGTAATAACCTTTTTAAGGCAACCTATAAAAAGATCTAGGATAAGAACGAAGCCCGAGTAATCTAAGATATAAGTAGGCTAATCGTCCCGTTAGTAGAGACACTTACTATATACGGCGCTACCGCTTTAAAGTGCCTAATCGAGAGCGTTAACGAAGGCTAGAACAACTCTATCCTAATTACGAAAACGCGACTATAGCCGGACTACGCGGTCGGCTTCCGCCGGGAGGCATTTACGTAAGACTAGCTCGATAGAATACAGCCGATTATCGGCGACTTCGGCGACTAGTCGTACTTTATAGCTACCTAGTATATATACTTCCCCTTCCTAACCTACGAGGTAAAATGCGGTACTACCGCTCTCGATATTACCGACCGCTAGAATGCCTATAGCGCGGCTATTATAGTATAGGCGGTAGTCGAACTATTCTAGGTAGTAAAGCGCGAGAAGGAGCTTTATCGAGAAATACTCGCCTTCTCGATCTTATATAACTATACTACTATAAGAATCTATAGCTATTATGCCGAGGTTAATAGCTCCGAGACGAAGTACTATCGCTATATAATCCGCAAATTTAACTTTACGGAACTAGACGGTAAAGAGAAATAGACGGTATACTAGTTTATAAAGAATATATACGATAACTAGATACCTATATACTTCGAGCGGATCTACTCGGCTATCGATTAGATCCCTACCGATATTAGCTTCTCTATATCGTAGTCGGAGCCTCCTTACCCTAAGCAGTTATTAGGCTTATAGCGAGACTTTAGCGTATAGAGCATTGCTCGCTCTAGTACCGGCTCTGTCTCTATATAAGGCTAGGACGACTCGCAGCCTAGTAGCATTTATAACCCTATCGTTACTCTAAGTACTTTAGTAACCGATAGAGAATTTAAAAAGCCGAAAAGAGATACTACTCGGATAGGACGTAAGTAACGGTTATAAATAATAACTATAAAGAATCTAAAGAGTTCTTCGGTATACCTTAATAATTAATATATCTATTCTATAAAGACGTCCTCTTATACCGCGTGCTTGTAATTAGTAATATCCCCCGTCTACTCGACCCTCCTCTTCGAACTTAACTAATCTATAAATATAACCGACTTTCTTCGTATAACGAAATCTTATAGCTACGTATAGCTTAGATACGAAAAGAGGGTCTGTAATTTCGTACTTCCTCGTCTTAGCGGGTCGTATATATAAGAGGAAGATCTCGATAGGTTCTAGAACGAACAACGGTTATTTTTAGCGTCGAGGGATACTAGGTAAGACAATCTCTAGGGTAAAGCTTTACCTTATAAGACTTAGGAGCTACTATAAAGCGGGCGGCTAATTACTAGATAGCGCGTACTACCGCCTAGAACCTCTCGCGTAATTAGCGTTACTACTAATATATATTATCTATACCTACTATCCTCTAATATCGATTAGGCTAACCTATAAGTTAGTATAAAGGAATAGCGCTAGGCGAAACATTATAGCCGCACCTATATAGTAGTAGTAGCTACCCTCTCTCTCGATTAACTATATAATGTCTATACGCTATCTAGATAACTCTATAGACTCTATACTACTATACGAGACATTCTATTAGCGTAAACGCTATTAAGACTAGTCCGCCTACGAAGCTATCGAGGAATAGCTAAGCGCGAAGAGAAATAAGTAAAATAGCTAGGATATCGAGATAGGCTATACGTTACGTAGGAGTATATAGTATATAGGGAAGACTTCTAATAGATGAAGCGGGGTAACGAACGCCGATAAGATTAGGAGACAGATCTTTGTATATAATACGCTAGTAGGGGTTCTTAACAATCGTACTAGAGTCTATAGCAAATCTAGAAAATAGGCTAATCGGGTATCCTCCGCTAGCGCTACCTTAATCTAGCCTTACTATTTAGAAAGGTATATAGAAAGCTAATCGCTATAAGTTATTCTAAAGACTAGTAAAGAACCTTACTAATAATAGTCGTACGAGTATATAGGGCTCTTATACGTTAAGTATAGCTTTTTACGCTTTCCGCCCTTTATCGAGGATATACTAATTCGTAATTAGCTAAATATACTATAGTATAGATTTCGGCGTTCTTAGATAAAGCAACTTGCGGTCTTTGCTATACTATAGTCGCTAGATTTATTAAGTACGCTAGCCTAGCGACCCTAAGGAAGCCTTATTAGTTCCGCTTTAGTTGTCTATCGGCTATTAGTAAGTAGGCTAAAGTTAGCGATATAGCTCTTAGGGAACGCTATATAAAACCTTCCCTATAGATACGCCTAGCCTAGTGGCTAGATATGGTCTCTTACCTTATTTCTCTACGCGAAGGCGATTTTAATATTTAGCTAATCGTTAATACTTACTCCGAAGGTTAGTCGCTCTAATAATCGGTTCTATAAATAGGTAGCTAATTATTAAAAGGTGCTCTAGCGTAGTATGCCGCCTATAGTCTAAGCTCCTAGGCGCCTAACCTTAACTCGAGCACGCCTCTGTTCGTAATAGGTATACTAATGCAAGCATCGCAGTATCGACAATATATTGCTAGCGCTTTAGCAGGCTAGACTTTGTAGATGCATCTGTTTATTGCTAAGAACAAGCCTACCTGTACCCGACCGACCGTTGTAGTGTTTAGCCTAGAGACTATTAGCGACATCGATTACGACTAATAACTACTACGAGCATATAATAGTACCTGCGATAGAGCACTCGACGCGCTGCCCTCTCCCTAGCATAACGAGAACATATAGTATAGCGTATACTATACGAATTACTTCGCAATACGTAGTTGCTAGACATTACGTAGATATAGGCCTCTCGATATTTGTAGAGGTAGGCTCTACAACTATATAGGCGTAAAAGCGAGATTCAGATAATTTTAACAAAGAATAGAGAATCGGAGTTCGTTAGGCGGGTACAACTGCCCTAAGACAGAGAGGCAGCGAGCCCCTCAATTTGCGTAGCTTAAGTAACATCGTACGTGACCTAGAAGTACGAGTTCGACAACTAGAGGAACCGCGCTTAGTAGCACGATGCCCGTAAAGGGTGCTACAGATTCCCTAGGCACATTATACACCTCCTATTTGTCTACCTTATTTATACCCTTCGCAAGCGAGAGGTCTATACTATTTATATTAGTATTACAGGTTTATAGCCCCTAAGAAATAGAGGTTGTATATATCGTATATTATACTAGTATATACCTATAGATACACATCGGGTATGCCCGAATACTAGGATATCCGAGCAATATTAAGTAGCTTAGCGGGTTATAGGCGGGATATTAGCGTATCCGATAACTCCGCCTTATATATATATAACGAGCTCGCCTAAAAGGGTCGTATATATAGTGTATTACAGAGCGTATATACTATCTACAGGTTAGTAGACCCTATTACTAATTTATATAGCCTACCTAGCCTACCTAGCCTACCTAGCCCGCCTAGACCGCCTAGGTCTAAGGGTGAACCTAGTAATATAGGACCTTAAGGGCTAGAAGGCGAACAAGGCTAGGACGGCGTGCTAGGTCGAGACGGCTTAGCGGGTAGAGATAGCGTACTAGGTCGAGATAGTCGAGACGGCGTACGAGGCCTCTAAGGCGTGCAAGGATTATAGGGTCTAGAAGGCTCTTAAGGGCGGCAAGGCGAACGAGGTCTACCCGGTCCTCGGTATTCGTATCTAGGGTTTCTCTAGTTTTTAGTATATAAACGACGATGCAGTTGTTAAAATATAGCAACCGGGACTAGAGATTTTGTATATAGTCTATATTAGGGCTAAGGAGGAGTGTGATTAACGTAGTACAGCGCTAGTAGAGAGCCTTTCTAAGTTCTTAGAGGTTAAGTATAGTCTAGCCTGTTTATAGCGATACGTCCGTATATAGGTTATAATATCGCTATATTAAGGATATCGGTGTACTAAGAATAGCTCGCTGCTAAGAGGGTTAGCTATAGGGTTAGAGCGATAGTGAGGTGCTACTATTATAGTCTATTTAGCTTCAAAATAGGACAGTATAGAGCCCTATATAAGGGTGTTTTGATACCGTTATCTAATTACCTTCTCTTGCTTATATAAGTCTAGTATCTATTATTAATTACAGTTAGAGTGTTGTTCTTTATATAACCTCAACTTTGCTAATATAGACAGTGCTTCTGCTATAGATATAACCTCTACTTCCGGCTCTTTAATATCGGCATTGTCTTCGTTATTATTATTAGGTATAGCAGTGTGAGCGTTAATATAGGCCTAGAAGGCCTCTTCTTCTGTCTCTTTATTAATAAAGTCGTAGACGGCTTTACTAGGTAGCTTAATAAAGGTAGCAACGTCTATAGGGTCGGTAATAAGGCCCTTCGCCTTTAGGGTGTTTATTTAGAGCTAAATACGAGACTCAATCTCGCGCTATATAGCCTCCTTCGGAAGCTGCTTAGAAATACTATTAGCTACCTTAAATTGGCTGAGAGTTATAGGTCCTTCTCGTGCGCTAAGGAGGCTACTATATAGCTAGCAGTTGTGTATTGTATCCCTCTTAATAGCATACTAGGCTCGGATTGTTAGTCGAATAGCCTTTATTAAATCTATAGTTTTGATAGGGTCTCTACCTTCGTCTAACTCGTTATATATGTATTTAAGCTAGTACTGTCGATAGTGTGCTTTGTAACTAGCAATAATGCCTTAGTCGAGAGGCTAAGTCTTCGAGGTAGTATTCGGCGGAAGGAAGAGGCATTTAGTATATCGGAGGCTATTCGATTCGTTAAGTTCTCGATAGGCGCATTCGTATAGTAAGAAGTTATCTATTACAAGGGCAGTCGGCCTACGCATTTAACCGTTAAACTACTATAGAAACTCCCTAAATATAATAGTGTTTATCTAGCCCTTCTTGTTATAGCGGTATACAATACTAAGGTCGTTTAGTTTAACTCGAATACGCTAGAAACAGCGTAGATTAGCTAACTTTCTAATAATCTGTAGTAATAGCCTTCTCTCTCCTGTCGCATTGCAAACTAGCGATACTGTAACTCGCGCCTTATCCTTCTTAATACTAGACACGGCTTCCGTACTAAGACTACGGTCTAGCACTATCCGCTAGAAGAAGGCGGTCTCGTCGACGTTATATTTATCGATGTCGTCGTATTTTGCTAACTCTTCGAGAATCTTAGTCTATACGTTATTAGTACTAATTTGGCATATGTAGCGCTTCTAGCTACTTTAATAGGCTTAGCGTCCGCTCTAGCTTCTTCCGAGCCGCGCTTCCGCTATAGCCCTATAGCCCTCTACGGTCGCAATCTGCCTTCTCGAGAAATGAGACATACTTACTATATCTTCTTCTACCTTCGTAAGGTCTATAGAGCCTACTTCGCTATACTAAACACGCTCCTTAATACTATATCGTCCTTTAAAGCTAGCGAGCCAACTATTGCTCTACTTTAGTATCTCTAAACTAGCAAACTCCGGATCGCGCCTCTAGAATTTAGTCGCCTCCTATCGGATCAAATCGCTAGTAATAGTCGTCTTTCCTTGCTTGTCGACAATCTATCTATATAGCTTAGTCTCGAGGCTCGGATATATCTCCTTTCGCGCCTTCTTCCGGCTTAGTTAGTTTATAACCTAAGTGTTA